CCAGAAGGCTGGCAGTTCAAACCCACCAGCCACTCCTCGAAAGGAAGGTTGGGCAATCTACTTCCATAGTGATACTGCCTGGGCAACCCTTGAGTCAGGGCCGGGGCCGACATGATGGCACACAACAACAAACACCACCACAATGGTTGCACGACCTTGCAAATATACCAAAAACCACTGAAACCATGTGAACTATATATCTCAGTTTTTAAAAATTCAATCAAGGTTGTATCTGCTGCCATCAAAGTAGAGCAAGCTGGAATTTTCACTTTCAGAAAATAGAAATATGACTATATAAAAGGAGACTAGTTTTCTGACACAGCTTGAAATCTAGCTGAGGGAAATTCCAAAGAGGACTTGTTAAAAGGCTGAAATTAGCACATACACACTCTCCCAAGGTGATTATTTTAAAGGCCATCTCACTTTCAGATACAGCCAACACTCGCCAAGTGGATTCGGACTCACAGCGACCCCATCAACACTGTGCTCCACAGGGTTTTTGACGGATGATTTTTTGGAAGTAGACCAGGCCTTTCTTTCAAAACACCTCTAGGTAGACTCAAACTCCCAACCTTTTGATTAGCAGTGAAATGCATTAACCATTTATTTGTACCACCCAAGGACTCCTTTTAAATATAGAGGTTCTACCAAATATATTAAAATTATCATGAGTCTTCAGACACACCAAATTCACTTACTAGTTAAAATTTAGATTTTTATTTTGTGCAAACAGTCCTTACAATTTAAGACAACTACTTGTAAGACTGGCATTACTCACAAAAACACTTCAAAATCCTGACCACAATCAAAACCAGATCCAAAGGCTGGAATCTGAAATTGTTTTAATTTCTTTTTTAGGTTTCAAGTTAAATCAAGCTTAAATAAATATCTCACAGTTTTATAAGAATTACTTTACAACTCAACAGTCAGAGGTCAGAATTTACATGGCAAAGACTGTATTACCATTTTTTAAAGAAAATGTTTCAGTAAATTGTGGTTTAGTATGCAGGAGCTTCGTTACTGTTTCAGTTAGGAGTTGTAGAGTGAATAAAGAAGTTGTTAAGTGCACAAACACACACACACACACACTCCAAGGGGTAAAGTATTAGAAGGACGGAAAAGTACCAAACGACAGGGCTGTTTTGAACTCACATCATCTCATCTAGAAAATCTGACCAGCGGAGTAAGAAAAAGAGTACTGCAGATGGAGACTCTAGATGCTAGTTCCAGTTCTGCCATTAGTTAGGGGAATAACCTTAGGGAAGTCTGTAGGCCTCTGCTTACAGTGGTGCATCGGGTAAAGTACTCAGCTGCTAACAGAAAGGTCAGTGGTTCAAACCCACCAGCCGCTCCACAGAAGAAAGATGGGACAGTTCTACTCCGTCCTGTAGGATCATTATGAGTCAGAATTGACTCACAGCAGTGGTTTTTTGTTTGTTTGTTTAGGAAGCCATATAGAGAAATGAGAGAACTCATGATTAGCCACAGGGAAAAAGGAAAAAGAAAAGTGTACACAGTTTCTGCTGGTACTGGTTTACTCCTGTTGGACCTAATGAAGACTAAGTACCTTTGCTAACTTTCCAAGGGATAGGAAGGAGTGGTTCCTATGTGTCACCACACCCACCATAGTTGGTTTTTCCCAAAACAAATCCAGTGGGGACTCTTCAAAAAATGTGAAACACCAATTACTTTTAGTCTGAATGACTAATTGTTGTTGTTGCTGTTGTTATGTGCAGTTGAGCTGGACCCGACTCATAGCGACCCCCTCCCTGGGTCTCCAAGGCAGTATCACTAGGGAAGTAGATTGCCCCATCTTCCTTCCGAGGAGTGGCTGGTGGGAATGACTAATAGGGCAGATCAATTCTAAATTAAAGAAACAAAACAGTTTTCTCTTGCTCATACCCAAAGAAATAAATAACTTTCATTCTAAACAGTCAAGAGCCCTATTTGATCACAGTGAATAATCTAAGGTGCACAGGTTTTTGCAATAAACAGTGTCAAACCAAAGAAAAGGAATTATCTACAAAAGACCCAGAGCATTGAGGCTCAAGATAACTTTATTATTATTCACTATAGCCTTTTTTATGGCATTTCACTTTCTATCCCCTCCTTCTAGAGTGGCAAACACTATCAGAGACTCGTGAGACTCATCATCTCTTTCACAGCAAGATAATCAGACCAGTTTATGCTGGCATGGTGCCAACGAAATAGAAGGCACCATCATATGAACCAACTCACGGCAGGCAAGGATCAAATGAGGCTAACTTACCAAGTTGTTACACTGGCTTCCAAGACTGCTCTTCAGAAGAGCTCCTCCACAACAGACAGCCCTAGAGAACCTGTTCCTATTGTTTAACCTTGTGATATAAACAGTTTACAGAAATTTGGCCTTGAGGTATAAACTATACAAACACAATTCTTGTGATGAATCTTCATCAAATATGGCTGAAGACTGCTCTGAGTCACATAAGCAACCATCTGTCTAGCACTGCCTGGTGGCATTCCTTTCAGGAAGGGTACAGAGCTATGCGTTTAATCTGGTATCCGTGCATGGACCGCTGGGTGGTTCAAGGATGGGTTCCACGGGTCAGTGAAGTCTCTCAAAGTCTACACAAAATGTTGTCCCTGTGTTTCCTGGGGACAGTGCCCTTGGGAAGTCAAAAGATTCTCAGAGGAGGCTTTGAAAAAAGGAAAGTTAAGGATCACTTATTTAGCACTAGATATAAAACAAAAAATCTACTGAAGTTGCACCATATGAATAAGATTTCAAGTAATCCCTGTTATTATTCAAGGTGCAAAATAACAAAGGGTGCCATCTTTTCCAAATAAATAAAAAACTCTGATGGGCAGAACCTTTGCCCCTTGAGAATCAGGCAGTCTGCTCCCTTCCTCCTCTAATTTAGATGAGGAAAATGAGACCAAGCAAGACTCTTGCCCACGATCCAGATCACAGAGCTAGCTGGTAAGTGGCAAAGCTGAACATCAAACTAGGCCGAGTTTCTGTCAGGATGCCAGGACATGAAATTATATTCATACTTTTTTCATAATAGGTTTGACCAAAATTTCCCATCTCCTTAAAAAAATACCCCATTCCACTAAAAAGCAGACCTTCTAACTTGTTAAAATAAAGCTTCAGCATTGGAATTATACACGACGGTGGGAAAAATCTATATATAGACATATATATATGTATATTCCCCAAAATCATCAATCAAGTCACAAATTTTTCACAAAATCCAGCATGACAGTTATAATGCAGAACATTAGTGACATGTATCTATTCCCCAAAATCATCAATCAAGTTATAAATCTTTCACAAAATCCAGCATTAACAGTTATAATACAGAACATTAGTGACATGGTACCCCCATCTTGATGGCAACCTGAAAAAGCAGCACAGGTCACAAGCTCATTGAGAGGCCCTTCTAAATGTAATGGAGAGACAGCTTCTGACAGTCCTTTAAAAAAGATACTGAGTCAGGGGTCAAGCTGACTTCCAATTGGGTTTGTATAATTTCAATCGCCAACGTCCCAATCTTCTAAAGGGTCTCCGTTGTTGTTATGTGCCATGAAGTACAACCTGACTCATAGTCGGACCCCTCCTTGGGTTTCGGAGGCAGTATCACTATGGAAGTATAGATTGCCCAACCTTCCTTCCCAAGAGTGGCTGGTGGGTTTGAACCGCCAGCCTTCTGGTTAGCAGTCAAGTGCCTTAGGCACTACTCTACCAGAGCTCCTAAAGGGTCTCTAGTGTTGCCTAAACACTAAATCATTTTTTCTAACCTGAGTAATGGTGTCATTCATAAATTAAACTGAGGACAATCTTTCCAGTCTCATGTTCACAAACACGACCTGTCGTAGAAACAAGGATATCAGGCAGTTATTCTGAGATCTGATTAAAAAATAATGACGGTCATAAAAATCTTTCTAAAGAAAAGTTACAGAACTATTTGTTCCAATGCCAAACTTTGCCTCGGCACATGAAATTTAAAGGAACCAAAAATTCTCACCTGAAAAGTGAAACCAAAGTGACATTTGAAGCCTAGTTCAATGTCAGCATGCCCTTCAATTTCAAAGGAGGTGCTTTATTCATTAGAAGAGATTCAGACAAAGAAAATCAACACTTAAGAAACCTACGGCACACACAGCGTATCCAAAGACACACATTATGGGAAAGTTTCTGACTGCTTCTGAATTATATTTAGCTCCTTCTGCCAGCGCCCTCCCCAGTCTCCCACCCCAAAAGGTGTAACTGGAAAAGGCCTTAAGAAGCACCTGTGGCCTGGAGAGGTTTAACCTTAAGGCTTCCAGAGCTGCAGCAGCCCAGAAACAGGTACTACCATTCTATTTTGGGTAAAGGACACTCTCTTCCATCCCAAGTGACCGCAAGCCGGCAAGACCAGTCTGAGAGAACGCATTGCGAGGAATTTTCACCAGGCCCGCGGGCCCCCTCTGCGAGACTCCGAAAAGGATGGAGATCGGGTCGCGACTGAACCGGCGGCTGGCCGCCCGGGGCTCACCACACACAGCCTGGCCGCTGGGGATCTCGGCAGCCCGTGGCCTGGCCGTGGCGTCAAGAGCACGCGCGAGAGGAACAGGGATCCCCGGGGACAGAGGGAAGAAGAACGAGGTGAGGAGCCCGCAGGTGTCGCCAGTGGAGGGAAGGAGATCGCCTGGGACCAGCACAGACAAGTGATTAAGAACGCGGCTCTGGACTTGGACGGACAGGTCACATTTTGGGCTCGGTGACCTTGAACACGTGCTTCGACCGCTTTGCGCCTTAGTTTCCTCGTCTCTAAAATGAGGGCTGTACAGGCGGAAAACGCACCTCCAAGCGCTTGGCGCGGCGCCTGGCACATGGTAAACGCTCCATACATGTGGGCTGCTCCGGGCTCTCAGGTTCCTCTCGCCAGAGGAAGCGGGGAAGTCCCGGGCAGGGGAGTCCCCAGGAGGCGGACCCCGGGCTGAAGTCAGGGGAGAGAGACCGGCGGGCAACTCACCGAGCACGTCTGCCGAGCGGTGCCGGGCCACGAAGCACGCGTCGTCCCCGTAGCACGCGCCCTTCTTAAGGAGGCCCTTACGGAAGTCCTTGCCAAAGCCGCAGCCGGCCGTCACCAGCCCGTAGTCGCAGCCGCCGCCGCCGCCGCCCCTGGGGTCGGTCTGCGAGAGGCCGCCGAGTACCGCGCGGGCTACCAGCCGCCCGTACGAGAGGACTGAGAACATCGCCGCCGCCGCCCCCCCGGGGAGGCGGGGGGCCCGGGGAGCAGGAGGACGCGGAGGCCCGGAGCCGGCTCTCTCCTCAGCCGCAGCCGCGCCGCCGCCGGGGCGCTCCTCAGGGCGGCGCGCAGTCGCCGCCGCTGCCCGACGCGCGGGGCCTCGCACGCTCTCCGCTGCGCGCACGGGAGCCAGAGCGAGGTCAGAGCCGGCGGCTCCTCCGCCTCAGCCAGATTGGGGTCCCGGCTGCAGCCGCCGCTGCCGCCGCCATCTTCCGCTCCACTAGCGTGTTCCGGGCCGCGCCGGCAGCACCACCCCCCTCTGACCACGCCTATAGCCCCGCCCACGATTCGCGGTCTCGGCCTAAGCCCCACCTCCTTGGGCCCGCTGCCCTATGCAGTCACCCAGGTCGAGCGTGCGCAGAGGGTGTGTACACATTGTCTCCTAGGAATTGTAGTCCGCGCGTTGTAGTCGCTTTTGACTTGACTGTCAAGGATTCAGAACCTGGGGAGATTAACCTAGGCCAGCTGCAGTACCCGGTTTGAGAATTACAAGTGGGTTGTTTGAAGGTTTTTCCCCTATTTTTTTATCTTTACCTTTTAAAGCTATTGTTTTAAATCATGGCACCATCTGTTTGAACAAAAACATGAAATCAGCACCAAGTCATACATTGATTCGGTAATGTTGTTGTTGTTATGTGCCGTCGAGTCGGCCCCGACTCATAGCGACCCCTCCTTGGGTTTCCGAGGCAGTATCACTACGGAAGTAGGATTGCCCAACCTTCCTTCCGAGGAGTGGCAGGTGGGTTTGAACCGCCAGCCGTCTGGTTAGCAGGCAAGTGTCTCAGCCACTATGCTACCAGAGCTCCCATGATTCGGTAATACACATATTGAAAAACTGAGGTACAGGACATCTAGAGACATGTCCGCAATTTATATACTGCTTGAGGGGTAGCAATCTGGAGGGACAGAAGAGACTTTTTTGTATAGTCCTTCAGGAAAAACGGAGAAAATGTTGTATGTTCCCGTAGACAATGAAAGTACAAGTGGGGGGAGGGACAGTGATGGAGAACTGAGCACAGCCACTGCAGACATGTTACACAGAAGTGTTTCATGATTTGCAAAATGGTTCTGCCAATTTAGGAGAAAATTTCTTTACTGCAAATCTTAATTTGGTCTAACTGGCCAATGAGGTGTTCTCCCAACCTCTGGCTTGGCTGCCCACAGGTCATGAAGATTCACAAGATGAGGCCCCTTTTCTCTTTTCACAGCTGCCACCTCTTTTAGTCACAGGGACAGCCCTTGGCAAGAAAAGCGGCTCTCCTACTTTGTTTTCTTAAAGCTCAGCTCTAACAAAGACATCCTGTAGCCTTCCAGATTTTGACTATTAGCTTTGTTCTAAAGTTTTAGGTTAGATAAAAGCTAAATAAAATGGGGAATTTGTAATCTTAAGGGGGAGATTACTTCAACAAAGATATATTTTAATATATGTGTATGAATGTGTGTAAAGGTGCCTTGGTGGCACAGTGCTTATGTGCTTGGCTGCTAACCAAAAGGTCAGTGGTTCAACCCCACCAGCCACTCTGAGGGAGAGATATGGCAGTCTGCTTCCATAAAGATTTGTAGCCTTGGAAACCCTATGGGGCAGTTCTGCTCTGTCCTATAGGGTCCTTGATGGCAATGGGTATGAATGTATATCAACATTAAATTCTTTATCATGCTCTATGAAGGCATCTAACCGCTAACCAGAAGGCTGGCAGTTCAAACCCACCAGCCACTCCTCGGAAGGGAGACTAGACAACCTACTTCTGTAAAGATACTGCCTCGGAAACCCAAGGAGAGTCTCTATGAGTCAAATCAACTCGTCAGTGAGTTTGGTTTTTGATGAGGTCATACACAGTGGAGCCCCTGCACACCTCTTCCACTCTATTTGGTGTCATGTCCCCTTCACTAACTGGCTCTAGCCAATGGCCTTCTTTACATTCTTTGACCAAGCCTCGCTCACAGCTGCTTCAGGGCCTTTGCTCTTGCTCTTCCTTCTTTTCACAAGAATCTAAGTCCATTATCTTAGGGTCTTTGTGTTCTTCATTGCTGTATCCCCACAATATATGGGCACACAGTAAATATTTTAGTGAATGAATGAATATTTCACTAAATTCTAAACTCTCAAACGGCAAGGACTATTTGCCAGGCTATTACTAGAATTCAAAGCAATGCTAAACACACAGGAGGGGAGTTTGTAGATGTCTATTGATTTTATTGAATAAAAGAAAGAATGAATGAGATACATGTTTGTCAAATCAAAGAATGATGGAATGGAATTCACAAAATTGCAATTTGGGGCCAATAATCCAATTTGGAATAATTCTTACTTTTATTGAAACATAAATATGTGCCACTTTGAAGTACTGGTCCTTTTCCAATTCACTTCTGGCAGGACTGTACTGACTTTGAGGATTCCCATCTCATTCTTTAAACTGATTTATTTTATACCTTTCTTAAAACAAATACACGCACCCAGGGGAGGCGGAAGCTCCAGGAGCCCTCCGCTTTGGCACTGACATCCGTGGCAGCTATGCTAAAGGTTCTTCTTTCAAGCACAGACACGATGACCAATCCTAGCCAGGCTGTCAGGTAATTCTACCCCAAGGACAAACTTTTTAAAAGAGCGTGTCAACCCCTATTCCTTGCCCTGTCAAACTCCTTCAGACTCTTGTCCCTTTCATTGTCAAGGTATATATTATCTAACTTCCGTGTCACTCACAAGAACCGGTTGGATGGGATGAGCAGGAACATAAAACGTGACTCTAGAGCTTATAACCTCCGCTATGACCAACCCCCCCCCAAAAAAAATCCACTACTGTTGAGTGGATTCCAACACATAGCGACCCTATAGGAGGGAAAAGAACTGCCCCATATGGTTTCCAGGGCTGTAAATCTTTACAGAAGCAGAGTGTGGTATGTTTCTCCCACGAAGCCGCTAGTGGGTTTGAACCGCTGATCTTTTCGTTGGTAGTCCAGTGCTTTTTTGTATAGGCACCAGGGTACCTTCTGCTCCAACCAGGCTGCTGTTTTCACAGTGCAATGATACGGATGCCTTGAGTTTCCAGCAGAAGTGTTTCTGGGGAAAAAGCTGCTCAGAGAAGTACAAGGCTGACAATCCTTTCTCAAAAGTCTCTTGCACTTTTTGGAAAGGAAGAGATAAGAGCCTCAGATGCCCTTGGATCATTTATTCTAATGTCAGCTCTGAAAAGTTTCAGAGGGGAAGCCAGGCGGAAGTACTTTCAGTATCTTCCCGTGCCCTCCCCCATGGCATTAGCCATGTTTGACATGTTGCTAGACTTTAAAAGACTGAGGTTTTCTTCCTTAACAGAGTTAACATTCCTAGCACTGCAAGGATTCCTGGGAGGTCAGCTGTCACTCTCAGAGGAGAAGTGGTAAAAATACCATCTATGTTCCCAGGGCACCTCTGGGGCTTTAGGAAAGAGCTTTGCACTTGAGTCACCCCTAGCTCCTAGGAGCTTCCCAGCTCCTAAAAAAAGCAAAAAAAAAATTCCTTGGTGAGGTTTTTCTGCCAGACTGGTACTGGGATTGCATCTGATTCCTCTGGGCTTACCTACTCAAGAGGAGTGCACCATTAGATCATGGCAGGGTTTCTCAATCTCCCACTGGTGACATTCTGGGCCAGGTAATTTTTGGTTGTTGTGGGCTGATCCATACCCTGTAGGGTAAATGCACTGTCCCTGCCTTCTACCCACTAGGTGCCAGTAGCATCCACCTTCCCAGCTAGGACAACTAAAAATGTGTCCAAATATGGCCATATGTCCCCTGTGGGGTAAAATCGCCTTCATTTTAGAAACACTGGTTTCACACAAGTGAACAAATATTTGGCGAGCACTTGTTATGTCTGAGGGACCAGGCTAGGGACAAAAAAAAAAAAAAAAACACCAGCCGGTGCCCTCATGGCCATCACTGTCTTGTCAAACAAACAAACAAAATCCAAACCCACTGCTGTTGAGTTGATTCTCACTCACAGCAACCCTATTGGTCAGAGAAGAACTGACCCCATAAGGTTTCCACAGTTGTAGTCTTTATGGAATCAGAATGCTGCATCTTCCTCCCACAGCACCACCTGGTAGGAGGGCCAAAATAAACAGAGAACATCAGTTCAAATAAGGAAGGGTTCTTGGGAGGTGAAACGCAATCATTGGGGTAGGGAAACACTCAAAGGCACTGCATGAAGAAAGGTGAAATTCACGAGAGTGCTGAACAGAGACAGTGGTTATGAGGAGGAGGTCTGGCCATTCCACGAAGAAAGGAAGCTCAGTGAACATAGAGTGTGATTGGAAAAGACCAGGTAGTCTAGTGCAGCCCATCTGAGGGTTGAATGAGGAATCATGAGAAATGGGGCTGGGAAAATAGTTTAAGATCTATTTGGCCATAAAAAAGGAAAACCATTAATAAATGCTATATCGTGAATGGACCTTGAAAACATGTTAAAAAAGGAAAAGCATTAATAAATGCTATACCGTGAATGGACCTTGAAAACGTGTTAAGTGAAAGAAGTCAGTCACAAAAGGATTCCATTTATACGAAGTACCCACAATAGGTAAACCCATAGCAACAGGAAGCATACTGGTGGTTGCCAGGGTGGGGAGAAAAGGAGAATGGGAAGTGACTGCTAATAATAGGGATGGGGGGCTCCTTTTGGCCAATTAGAGCATTGTATTCTCTTAATCACAGTTATTGGTCCAGAGAGAAGTCATATTTTGCAAGCCAGGCCAATGAGACTTGATTCCAAGACTTTTTTTGAAAGTACTAGGAAAGAGAAATTCTTACCAGTGTTGCTAAGATGGTAGGATGCAAGCTTGGAGCTGAAGGTGGCCTTCTTTGCCATTTCTTGGGAAGAAACAATGAAGAAGTCAACACGGGGCAGCAGAGCCTAGAGATGTTGAGACAGACGTCTGGTGACAGTGACTGAACCCCAGAGTCAAGTTTTGCCCCTATTTTGCATAACCTGTTTTGTCTGGCAAGGTTACGAATCCTGACAAACACATCATGAGACCTAGGTGTCATGACCACAATTTTCAGATGAAGAATAAGTTCCCAAACCAAAGACAATTGTTAGAAGGGAATTTACCCTGTGTTCCTCAGGATCTAACAGATTGAAGAAAAACTTCCAGGCTTGTTCTCTCATTCCTCCACGAGGTGAGTGACTGGTTTGAT